GAAGAAAAAAGTTCGTCATACATACACTTCTATCCTAAAGCCTTCTGCTGATCCATGGAGAGTGTTTGCCTGGTGAAGGATACTACAATCTGTACTGTCCACAGAATTCTCGACTCAGACTGGTTCATCAGGTACGTCAACGCATATCTGAATGCAGAGATCATGCGCAGGGTTCGAATATGGTCGCGTCGCCGTTTCGACGCTTTCTACGATAAAGTAAGAATTTCTTTCCGCATACGTTCAACGACTCTGGTTGTCTATTCGTTCGTGCTCATTTCGTCCGTCTGAACCTGACCGCCTCTAAGCGGTCTTGTCTACGGTACGATTTGATGTAGTGCGTTCGATGTGCGCGTGACATTTTCGCTTAAATGGGTAGAAAAAGTTCGATCGAGTAGCAGCTTTTGAATTATCGCGCGAAAGAAAAAGGGTGAGAGGTGGGGCCACGGAGCCATAGATCAACAAGCTGCAAGTATTCAAATTTCACGCTGTCGCAGACGCAAACAAATGGACATAAGACGCATGACCGTATTAAGCGGATTACGAAACTACCGAGCTGCATCGACTTACCTGTTTATTATATAACACACGGGCTGTTTATAGGCGGCTATTATTATAGTTGCTTAATATTCGTTGATCATATATGAGAATTTAGAGCTAATTTGCTATATAACTGCGGCACAAATAGCAATAGTAGTCATAGCCTATAAATAAATAGCCTAATAGAGGCTACACTCGGATCTAGACTCACTGAATTGCGTCGAGTAAAACGATTATGAGATTGTAGGTAGATGAATAAATTTGTAGAATGGTATATATATATATCGTTTGTACGTAAATATCGTATATATTGTCAAGCAGACTCATATTGTTCGGCTCAAACCAGTTGCTACCATTAATATCACTGAATGAAATAGGTTCGCTATTTTAAAATTTCAGGTTAAAGGTGTACGAGGAAAAGAATCGAACGACTCGTTGGATAAGTGAATCATTCTCGACAGATTTGCCGAAACAGCTTCCCTTAGAGGTTCTGAAGGACTCAATGGATCCGGTACGCGATTATTTATACACAACTATCATATGCGAGTCCATAAATCAAAAGGTCTTAACACGAGAGCTGTGCATCACCGACTGGCGATCCTTATGTATGAAGATACTGCCTTTTTTATGACTATCTGTCCTTTTAGCAGCATCAACTAACATTTCCGTATGTATGGCATTTAGCTCTGTTTACCCTTAAAGGCGGCACAATCTTTCAGTAGTATTTGGAGGGCTTCGAGCGACTGGCAGCGAACTCAGCAGAGCTTTCTGTGTACAATGTCTTGAATCTTCAGGTCAAACGCAGGGTTATCTTTATCAATTGATATCATAATATAACACCATAAGAAATACTCATACAACGCATATGTGAGCCAATCGGACCGCGGAACACGCGATAATATTCTATATAATGCATCCGTACTTTCTTCCGGCTTCGAAGATGCAAATAAAACTAGTGCTTTCTCCCATAATTATCACCAGTATGTCATCGGGCATAGACCTTAACGCAACTATGTTTTGATAGTTACCCATAATATTCCCAGAGGGCATCTAGCCGCCACTGTTTGTATCGGCCATTAAAAAATCCAGGCTGTTCACATTAGTCTGAAATAAAACGCTTTTGTCATTATTTTCAGCAGTAAACAATTTCGGCTTTCTCACTGCTTCCGATTTCCGCTTCGTACATGTAACTCTAGTGTATAGCAATAGGCTGCTCCTTCACCTAACCAATATTGACTTCGCATCACTCCCTGTAGGTAATAGAGTCAGCAGATGCTAAAAGTTTTTGCTTCCTGCGTATCTGCTTCTGTCTCGCTAGGTTTTTTTCAGCCAGTTTTAGCTAGATCGGCTCTCCGCTTGCTGGCACCATTTGTGCTTATTCAGCGCGTTGTGCTCGAAAAAAAAAAAAAAAAAACTGACCAAGTTACTACTGGATCTTTTACTAATTATCTATTTGTGGAAGAATTTCTACGCGCTACTAAAAATCTACCTTCGCGGCCAGCCACTCCACTAAGTTATGCGGTCTTCGGCACTCCATTAGAGCTGGCAAGCTTCCGCCGGTACTACCACCTTACCAAATACAAAGTTCATGATCTAACGCGTCATGCGGCGCGCACTTGTTATTAACCTGAACCGCTTTCGGCGTCAGTCTGTGTTAGTTGCCCTTGTGCTGGCAGGCTGGTGCCTTCTCCGCCGATACTATCGGCTTCGTCAGTGAGGATGCCTGTATATAAGGCAATATTCTTTCGAGCACGGTGGCCGCCATCTTGGAGCCTCTCCTTAACTCGCCATCCAAAGGACTCCGCTTTGCTGGGTTTTCCTCTATCGCTTAGCACGCGCTCCACAGGGCTACCGCTGCTGCTTCACCACCATCGTCACCGCTAACTCCGCACTCAGACAGCTCAAACAACGCAACGGCGGGTTCGGTTCGTTCCGTTCTTCGAACGCCGTTGAACGGCCTCCCTCTTTGGTTGCTTCTCTTCGCCTACGGTCATGTGACAACAGACGGCCAATCTGATTCAGCCTGTAACACAACATGTGGCCGTTTTATTTAAAACACGATGACCTAGCTATGGAGCCCTTGGAGTCGCCTTGCAAAAAGCTTCCTTCTTCTAAATGTGTACTAGTTTTCTGCGTGCCGCATAACTACTTGCTCGTTCCGACTCAGCTATTTTGTCGTTGGAAAAAAGCGAGTTTGTCCTGACCTGAAAAGTAGAAGGAAAAATTTATCCCGTCGGTGCAGCGTTCAGCTCGCACCCTCCGTTCCCTCCATGGCCACTGTAGCTACGCTAAACCTCCCCCGCTTTTCCCAGCCCTCAGAATGTCGGTGGTCCTGCAGCAAACAAGGAACATTCCGGAAAGGGCCAACCGGGCTAAGAGCGGACAGATACCGTCGACCGGCAACGAGCAGCCGCCAAGTGCCCGCCGCCATTACCGCTAACCGCGTGATGGCGGCTGTGGCGGCGTTCCAAGTCAGCGGTACTCCGAGCGGACGATGCTCCAAGTCAGTTGGTACATGCCAACCCGGCTTGGTTCTCAGCGATCGATGGGGACCACAGACGGGTTGAAAGCGATCGTTAGCAGCGGCGGTCTTTGCTGTTTGCTCGCTTGCTACAGCAACATTGCATCCCAAAACTCACAGGCCCAATGCAAAGGCCATTTTTCCACGATAATATTGTGCTTCGAAGCCAAAGGAACGGTCGGCATCGTTGGCAACCGGCATGAAGGTCGAGTTGAGAGAGTATAATAATGATAGTATGATGTAATCAATGCCAACCGTGATATCACGCATGTGTGTGTGCGTATGGGTATGCGTGTGCATGTGCGTGGAGACACAAGATTGCTGGCATGACAATGTATATCTGAGGTCCAGTCGATGCAAAGGAGGGTCGAAATGATATTTCTGGCCTTCTCCGTTAGACTAGTCTTTTTCTCTTGGACGGAACGCGCACGGAACGAAACACAATGCTAGACGATTCCGGCAGTTCGTTCGAAGGGGAACATACAAATCGCCGCAATGCCGATGAAGACAATCTGCTTTTGCTCATTGGAGGCTTACGAGGAAGAAAGGATGCATTATCGGTGCACGACAACCCCCATCAGGCTAACGGGCGCAGACAGTAAATGATCCAATAGCAGGCACTGAGGTAACAAGAATTAGTGGCTGGCACGAGCTAAGTACATCAGCATGAGATAGACACACGTGTACACACAGATAAGACGAATAGACAACAATGAGATCGCAAAAATCACGAGTATTGTAACAGGAAGGTTATCCAAATGATGCTCAGATCTGTACAGCGATGAGTGCTTCAATGCGGGTAGTCGGTCTATTTTTGAAACAAGGTGGGTAAACACCGACCTTCAAAGGAAGGGGGTATTCAAAACATCCTTCATTTAGCTGATGGAATCGTGGGCGTTCGCTACCACAAGGCCGCGTCGGGCCCTTGTCGCCTATTCTGTCTATGCGTTGGTAAATATTGGTACACCACACGGGTGCACAGGCGAGACGGGCGTGTGGACTAACTGATTCTGGTTGGGCTGGGGTCGGACGAAAAATGATTGTCCAGTTGTGGCTAAGAAGCCTCGTGACAACGTTGCCTGATACACGCGAATATAAAAAGCTTGTGGGAAAAATGTTTAAGATAAACGTGTTATCATCATCATCGTAGATGTTGTCGTCGTCGTTATCAAACAAAACAACAGGCAAAGGCTGATTATCACCACTGCATGTCGTACAGCCTTGCTGTACACTCATCCATTCGCTCCCCTGTCAGGCCATCTGGCAGCCCGCGTCCGATGGCTGTGTCGTCTGCAAACTTTGGATGGACGATTCAAACACTTGGCGTTGCCGCACACTTAGGTCTTCGTTCGCTCCATATGGTCCACGTCGTCTCGAGCTCCGACGCCATGTGACTCGGCGCAAAAGGAGGAATTGTCAGGAAAGAGAGAATGGTATCCAGAACTCGAGCCTAGCGTCTCCGACAGCAGTCGGCTGAATGATATGGGCAATGTTCACGCCAAACGAGAGCAAGAAACGATTGGAAACTGGACAGATGACAGTTATATTAGATGTTAAAGATAGCTTATCATGAAAACGATGCATGAACTATGTATACTCTTAGAACGTATATTGGTGAGTGCGGAGCGAGATCTGTTTGTTCCTAGGAGAAACGAAGGGTAGTTACGTTGCCTGAATGGACAAAAGCAACTTTAAGAAGGCACAAGAAACGAGCTTGAATCCTCCAAAGTTGCCGTATTATCAGACGCAGGCACTTTTTCACGTTTGTCGAAAAAAACACACATTTACTACAGCACAAGACAATCTCTTTGAAGCATTTCGCTTTCCGTCACTGCAGAAAGCTACACGATAATTTCGTTCTACAGTCATATTACTATGTTCATTTGATTTCAATGCAAACACTTCTAGCAATGTGTCTTTTGCGAGCCGTCGTCTCTCTTACCTTGATCAATGCTGATGAAAATTCGGGTAGCAGTATCGTTTGCCGGTAGATGCTTATTGACTCGCTCTTGAGGGAAATTGTGCTCGTTATAGCTGGTGTATGACACAGTTCACCGTGTACGTGTATGGCAACGGGAGGGATGCGCCGAAAGGCAAAATGGAAGTTTCAAAGGAAGGATTTATTAGCTAAACGTAGGTACCGTTGTTAGCTGATAATTGCTTGCAGTGCTGGATAGCCTAACGACACCAGGCGAATAGTCGGTGTTTTTAGCTGGCTGGATGGTCTATTTGCGAGTGATTTGACTATTCGTTGTAGCTGGTCGCTAAATGGAAGAACACAGAACACGCAGAAGACTTCTTGCAATGGTAGGAATATGGATGATGATGGCAACGGGAGAGTTTTCAGGAGCCGGTCTCGACAACGATGAAGTCTCTGTCGGTGTCCAACCGTCAAATTAAATAGAGCCCGTATTGGACCAGGTGAGAAAATAAGTGTAAATGGTGCCTGATATTTTCAGGCTAGTTCCGGTGGCCCGTTGTAGGAATAATAAAATATTCGTCGGCGGCAGCTGTCGCAGAAACACAAGCCAGTGAACTACTGAGTATTGGTGGTACGCTAGATCGATAAATTCGGCCACAAACTTTGAAGAAAGTGCTTTATTTACCAGCGATTTGGCTATTAGCAGCACCTGGCCAGAATTGTGCACTAACGATTGGATCAGTACATAGGGTAGAGTAAGTTGACTGATGACGAATTAACAACTTGAGAGTTGTGTATGTTTAAGAAGTTTGCACTAAGCCAACAGATAAGTGACTAGTGGGTATAGTAAGTTGACAATAACTCGGACAGAAACTTTGACGATTCGAACAGCAAAAACGGCTAGACAAAATTGCTATTCTATAATGATTAGTAGATAACAGCAGCAGCAGCAGCAGCTAATTCGTTAGCTACGTAACCCGTCAATAAACAACGGTAAGTAGGTCTGTTACGCGAATCGAGCAGACGTAGATAGAATCTTGTATTTTCTTGACGCTCCACGCAGCAATCGAAGTAGTATATCTTGCTTGTTCTCACACTGATTGAAAACACATTGAAACTGTTGATTAGGAACGTTGGCGAAAAATCTTGTTCACACCTAACGTCGCGGTAACACTATGGGTTGAGCTTAGACAGACAGATCCAGCTGACGTAGAATTCGAAAGCACGGTCACGATATGACGTTTGTCGAAATCAATAAAATGGCTTGACAACAACTATCTGTTCGACCGGGAAACAGTCGTGCGCTATGTGCAGCCGTCAATCGTCGACCAACAGCCTATCTCTGTAAACCAAGGAATTAAATTTCGTTGCAAAAACGCTATCTCAAAGAAGAGAGAAATGTTCTCTGTAGCAGCGTCTGACGCTCGTGAACACGTTCAGAGCCGCCCGCAACAGGCAGGTTTATCGTGAAACCCTTTTACTTGGTCGTCCTCGGCAGAAACTTGTGGCAACGCCGGCCTGGCTGTGCGTTAGTGAAAGTTCGCGTCGTTCTTTCGCCTTCCCAGCAACGACATTTAGACGTCTTGCCGCTAAGAGCTAGTGATCTTTAGGGACACACGCTGAAGCTGATAAACGAATCTCTTGTAGATTGCAGTGACACCCAGTGAGCCGTCCCACTTTCCTCTCCCAAAGGGTTATAGTAGTAGACGCAAAGAAAATAACAGATTTCCGCCTATAGCGACACTATTCACTGTGCACGTCCGTATTTGACTGGATGATGTACTTATTGGATTGCAAAAAACAAAGTTTGACAGTGGCAAAAAAACTCAATCCTTCAAAGGTGGCAATAGATGTAGTAGTCGAATGGTGGACGAACGACACTATAGACGTTGTAACCGGGTGGTGCGCACGAAACGCGTCAAACACGATGAAAAGCAACGCGATATTATTGATGCCGTTGTTGTACGCGTCGTCGTAGTTGAATTGAACACTGGACACTGTTGGCTGGTTATTGGTGCTGAAGCAGAGATAACACAGACACACAATTAAACGCACTAGATACGGTTATCAAGGTTATGTAGGTTTATAATTGCCTAATTGTTGATAGCAACATCAGCAACGATTACTAAGTAGATGGAGCGTTGGTGATGGTTGTCAAACGAATTCGATTTGAGCCAGGACAATATAGTCGTGATACTTGTAGCTCAATACCGTGCGGAGACCTGTCACGTACTGCCACGTCGAATAGCTCTTGTCCGATCCTAACAGTTGTCCGTCTAAGGGCGCAAGCAACGACAGACGACCAATTAGGGGTTTGGGGGAAGGAGGTCTCCAGTTAAACGAACGGACGACGATCAAACGCAAAATAGACGCCGCAATACATATATTGGCTTGGTTCACTGGAACTAAAACCGTCACCCGCGATTGCTGCTGCAAGAGGAGTTAAAGACGCTATTGCCAAAGTGTAAAGCTATCGGCGGACAGTCGTATTATCACGCACGTAATTCCGGGCGTTCAGGCAAGATAGCCAGAGAAACTGTATTCGTCGTATAACTATTCGTTGTTTTATAAAATACAATTATTGCACGTTGTTGTTGCTCTTGCTGTAGCTGATTATCGCTATGGTGAAGCAGAACTGCTGCTTGTTACCTCGTTGTCGCCACCTAGTCTATTGTCGATAGCCGGGTAAACGTCAACGGTTGGTCGTAACAATGACGCAACAGAGGTTGTTGTAGTGACGTACACGAGGCGGAAAACACAATGACAGACAGCACGGGTAGTAATTTCGACCAAAAGGCCGACAATTGAGAGAAGATAGAAGATAAATTTTGACGAAGATCTTCTGCTGTATCGTAGATAGAGATCGGATGCGAGGGAACGTACACCGCAAGGGTGGAACACTTGGAGTTTACAGCTGCGAACGAAACCAACCACTAAGCAACGATGATGAGCTTTCGTAGCAGAACGCCTTACTTGGCTTGGTCTGCTGCTAGTCGCCCCCTGGAGCTCAGCTTCGCCCAAAACCGTACAAACCAACTAAATGATAACGGTGAGGGCCCACGCAGACACAAAATACCAACAAAAGACCGCGAGGGCAACGGGGCCCTTGCGCGCGCAACCTTCCCTCTCGGCGATGATGAGGTTGACTGCCGATGGCGGGGGCCTTTCGCTCCGCGTGAAAGGCCCCCATCGGCAGGCCAGCACGACTCTAGTCATACTGTACCCGGTAGCATAGGCTTCTATAGTGAAGCCCTGGCAACCAGGCCGGCAACTGCCGAGGCCCCCTTTTCAATCCCGTTCCCAAAAGCTTCCGCTAGTGTCGGTAAGCCTCGCACGACGGCGCCACCGCCGCCCACATGGTGATAAAGGCAGCAACGTCAGGCCGCCAAATAAGGAAATAGGGCCCGGTAATTCGACGGCTCCAGTTGGCGGCAAGACGGGGATTACGGGGGACTTAAGGTGTTGGTTGAAGCTTACGGAGCTGCTGGACTCGAGGCTCCATCGAATAGTTAGCCCGACGTAAAGGATAGTCCTGACTGTCGCCGGACCGAGCTCGGGCTCCGACTCACCATCGCAGTCCTGAATCGGCGATGCCTCGGGGGGGCTGCCTCGTCTACGCGTGGTGGATGACCAATTCACCAGACTACATACGGCATAAATAAAGACCAGCGGAATAACTAACAGCAAGAACATATCGATGATGATAATGATGGGGAAATTCTAACTTCTACTACACGTCAACAGTGCCGACGATAAGAAAGACAATGTGGTTTCCAATGACTCAACTGAGCTGGACTGCTAGCACTCGTCGGCATGTATTGACAACCGTAAACAAAGCACAAAAAATATTTACGTTGTACGTACATGTTTCTCTGTATCTATTGAACTGATTTAGTCCATGAACAATGTTCTTTGCCCTCCAGCGTTTCAACTTTACGTAACGGTTCAATATGTTGTACAGTTTTGGTTTAATTCGGCTAAATGATATTAGAATTCATGTTGCATTGATATGGCCAAACTGCATAATAGTGCCTTCTATCGTGCCATTAGCGAGTCTGCGCCAAGCAATATCGAACTTCGTCTTAACGCGCTATAGTACACGCAGGTGAGCTTCATTTATCATTTTTTTTTTCTTTCAATGTATTTCCCTTCCACATTTTCTTTAGCTGCCTTAGCAACTCATAAGGCACATGGCAGCAGCTGAATGGAGCAAAACAACATGACGTTTCGCCCCGTCCGATATTGCCCTCCAGTGACACCAAAACGAGTATCGACGAACCCTAGCTGACTCAGGAGGATGCTATCCGTGTGGCCTGTAGGCCCAACAAGGACGCCGTTTTAGGACCAAAGCCTGCAAGTCGGTGCAAACCGTTCAGCCCCTCTGGCTGACTTTGTGCCACAATGGTAACGTTGCGTTATCTTCCCTCTGACGAATGGTGGTGGGGAATGCTTCTTCCTTCGACAAATTATATCGACCATGACGCAGACATCGTAGTTTTGTAAGAAGCAGTGCACCCCCCAGCTTCATCATTAGTGATGTCTCACGGGATAAGACGGAATCAGGCAGGTAACACGACTTGGGCTAGGCAGCAGCGCTACTCAATTAAATGCAAGTTTTCCTGATGATGGTGGTCGGGGTGGTGGAGGGAGGGAATAACACAAGCAGCTCGTGCGGTAGCACCACTAGCAGATCAGGCTTAGCGGTGACGATTCTGAATGCACCTGCTCTGACTACTGAACAAAACTTCCCGGCGAATTTCGCTGCATGGAATGGATGGTAATAAATACCCACAAGTCACTCAGACAGTGGGGCGTATTTCACTGATGATCTAGGTAAGGAGCTGACCCAAAATGAATGTAAAATCATAATCACTATTATAGGGAAACCAGTAGCGTAGTTTTTTATGTGCAAACATATTCACCACCGTTACTAAATTTAGCAAAAATTATATATGTCTTCGATTATACTAATAGGATACTAACATGAGTATATTTTTTGAGCACTCCTTAGGTAAAGATGCATTGAAAATATATTTATGATGATATCATACACTGAAAATGTTCAATAGCCCTGATGTTTCAAATAAATTTATACTAATAGAGTAGTGAAGGCAACGTTTAAAGGACAAAAAATCGGCTTCTGGCTAATGTAGTTAAAGCTGTTACAATTTTGTTTTTTGACGTTTTTTTCTTGTATATACGCTTGCTTCGATACGGTAGTCTCCGATCTCAGCGGTCTGATTAAAGCAGATGACTAACGCTAATAAATGGCATTTGTTATGTGAGTTAGACAATTATGATCTACGAGTTAACTTAACTTCCATGTTCATAGTCGATTAAAACATATCACACAGCCTGTGTATGCGTACATATGTGTATGCGCCTATGTATCGTAGCGATACGTCATTGAATGATGAAGAATACAATCGTCTACGTAGGCCTAATGTGTGCTAGCGCGACGCTGGGGGTCCCTGAAAAAAACTCATACACATTTAAGTTGCCCTCAAATCGCATAAAGTGCTATGCAAAGTAGAAGTACCATTTTGCAGAAACGTTCTTATACAATGACGGGTCGTTATGTTTTACTCCTTGCAATGACCATGGACTGAGGATAACTACAATGGAGGCTTATCTACATAATTATTGTGATACTTCCGTGTGAAAGTACGCAAAATAAGGACTGCTTGCAGGTGATCTACTGATATATGTTTGTCGAGCTTCAATTCGGCCGCTCAGAGACCTAATAGGATAGTCGTTAACTTCTGCTATGGATTTTTACTAGTGATATGCATCTTCTGAGGAAATTTCGAAACGTTCTGTAGTACCGGGCTTGTTCTCAAGAGTTTGTAGGACGGGGTAACAAGTAAAACTTTAGGTGACATAATGCGCATTTTACTGGTTGCAATATAAAACTGGACTTCGTTCTATCATGTTTACGACCTGGCCATTTTTCCGCAAACCAGGAGTAACGGAAAGGGACGCAAATCGGACGGAAGGCATTGTGTTGTTCAGTAGGTCCCAGTTGAGCACCAGAAATAAAATATAGGTGCTAACATTTCATCAATCAGCCCTAGCACTCGGTAAACAAGTAGTAGGGGTACGCAATTCATCAAAGTACTTTTTCAGCACTCCATGCATAGGCTACTGCTAGTTAAGAAGGACAATCAAAGAAGGACACCTATTCGGTAAAACAATGATGCGTTTAGCAAAATCAATTTCACACTCTGTGTCAGCAGGAAAGTACCTTGGCCTCACACGGAATCTTGTTCGCTTGCATTATTGAACATTATTTTTTAAGAAAATGCCTTCTGTTCCATGTAAATTTCATATGACCTTATCAAATATGATCATTTCGAGGCAAGAAACAAGAGATTTAAATAGAAAATAAGATGGGATCAATCCATGATGTCGACATTTTCTAAAGATGATTTAAATTTGTCATTATTAGTGCGTATTGGGCCATAAGCAAAATTGCGGGGTATCGGCGCCGTAAGGCTTCATTCCTCGAGAAATGACAACAGCAAATTTTGACACCGTGTTTGTAAGGCCACGTATGCTCAACTCTGCCTAACAGCGAATAAGGTCGCCCGAAGTAATAAATTTCTTTCTACGGTTTCGGTTGATATAGCTGTATCATCCGTTTGACTATAAACTATCCAAGTAACAGCTGAAAAACAGAAAAAAACAATTGATGTTATCCTGATCTCACCCCGTGGCCTACAAGTGCGCAAAGTTATATAATTATACATTAGAATAACTATATCATTTGAAAGCGTATGGATATCTGAGATGAATCATTGTCATAGGATGTACGAACTGATAATGTTGCATCAGAAAAGAAGACGCATAGTGCATGCGTCCGAAGCCTCATAAACGGCTCGATCAATTAATAATGTTGCCATTACTTGCACCATTAGCACGATCCTAAATTCAAAATAGGCCACCTCCATTGTGTGTATAGAATTTGATAAAGGGAAGCGAAGTCAACGTGTCACAGGCGACAACCTAACCTGTGCCAGTCCTCATCTCTGTTTTGCCCCATCTGATAATGGGATGAAGGATGGGCAAAGGATGAATGCCCTCTCGTACAAGTCTGCATCGCGCACACAGTCATCACATTATTACGTATACGCAGCGCCGTATAAACTTGTCAAGTTTTCAGTGGTTCAAATTTTTAGTTGAATCGTGACTACATTCTCAGGTTAAGAGCACCTAAATTTCTAACTAGCTGCAAACGAAACTTCCTGGTATAGAACGTACTGCACTGGTTCGCTCAGAAGCTAAACAAGCGTAACTCTGATCATACCTTTTGAAGACATATTGATCTGCTAGCCAGCGAAATAGCGGTTCTAAAAGAAACTCGACAATTGCACTTTTAGGTTTGTCAAACAGATCATCAGTAAATCAAATAAATCATCATCAAATAAAAGTATTCGTTCCAGATACGGTCCGTTGTATCGATTAATAAGGAAGGTAAGTTATATATATCTAAATGGTAACATTATCATACAGCGTTGAGCTTCCCTAGGTCAGGGATTTGGCTGTCAATGTCTATCAAGCTTGTTCGATTTTTCGCTTATGAGCACGCTTCTTTTATTCTATAATTGAAAATTAGATTCGGCACTAGCTAGATTATATGGTTCTGCGAAAAAAATGCCTCCCTGAATGTCTATATATGACTTGGTTTTCAAGTAGATTTTTGTCTAATGTTCCTGCCATAGGCACCAAACACTCGGACATTCCTATCCACGACATTTCCTGCTGTTAATAGTAATTAGACGTGAACAGGGTATGCTTTCGATAACTAACCCAAATAATCTGACATAGAAATATCGGAAGCGACGACTAAGGGCAATCGCTTACCTGGGACATCCGCTGTCGGCGTTCGGTAGTTGCCGTAGACGCGCATTTTCGTTGGAAAAACGTCGTGTCCAGCGGCGCTTCCGCCAGTCGTGATCACTGCCATGGTGCAGCCGAATAAATAACTAAGTAATAAA